TCAAATGATAAGTGCAACTAGAGTCAAGGATCCAGTTAGAGACCTTGAGATTTCTTGTGGTAACCTAGTTTTTGTTATTTCTCAGAATTAAAACATTTTTGAAAGGTAAGTACCGCGGTAGCAGCCGTAAATAGTAATTGGTACGTGAAAATAGAGTAAAAAGAGAATCTCAGGGTCTAGGAGAATCGAGGGCGGTCTAGGGGTTTTGGGGCTTAGATCACGGTCGGACGCCTTGGACGGAACGGACGGTTCATGCTAAAGTACTCGCCTTCGGCGCCTTCGGCAAAAGCTCCTTTGCTGAGGAGCCTTCAGCTGAAGCGCCTTCGGCGCAAGTAGAAGCAAGCGCCTTCGGCTCAGGCTCCTTGGCAGAAGAGCTTTTGCTGAAGACGTACGAAGCATGTATTACGGAACTCCTTCGTCGGTGGAAAACGACCTCGTCACTAGACTTCGCCTTCGGCTGTAGACTCCTTCGGCCGAAGCGCCTTCGGCATTAACGCCTTCGTCGCTAGCGCCGTCTTCGTCATTAGGGTTCGTCTTTGGCGGAAGGCAGTACCTTTGCCTCTAGGACACTCCTTCGGCGGAAGGACTCGCCTTTGGCGGAACAAGAAAAGGAAAAGAAAACAGCGGAAGCAAATGCCTTCGCCACGAGCGCCTTCGGCGGTGCGCGGACGGAGAGCTGCACCGGCGGAAGTCGGCGGGATCAAGATTGAATGTACAAGTGTGGGAGTCCGCGCAACGGCGGAGCGTGAATTCGCATGTGCGAATCAGACCGTTACGCCTCAGCGCCGGCATAGCATTTAAGCGGGTCGCTGCTAGCCCAAGTGTCGAACGATGAGAGTTCTTGATTGCTGAAGGAAGAGACTCACTCACGCATTTTCAATTTTGCACTCGCTCGAGTTCACGACGCGCAGCAGGAGAATTCGCGGAGAGCTTGTCGAGAGCTTGCGGAGAGTTTGTCGAGAGTGCGCAGCAGGAGGGTTTTGCAGCCGAGTTCGCGGAGTGTTGTAGAGAGTTCAATGGCCAAGTTCCGCTGCGGATGGTTCCACTGCGCGTGCCGCAGGTCGGATTGCGGGCATTTCAAGATGAGTTGATGGCGGTGAAGCTCAACTTTCTTCTGTGGGGATGAAATTGGGTGTGCCCGACGATGGTCCGGGAGTGGATGCGCGAGAAGAACCAGCCTCCGCGAGGTTATTGACCGCACCCGGAGAAATGGCAAGTGAGTGATTGGGAGCAGGTCTTGGGACAATGCGCGGGAGAAGAAGGCAACCTCATGTTCGAGAGCGAGAGTGTGCATATTTCAAAGGAATAAGAAATTTCCTTCGGCGCACTTTTCAAGAACTGCAAGTCGAGCAATAACGGGTACAGGACCCATGACTACATAGACCGCAAGCGGAGTAATGTCGCGGTAGCACTCCTCCAGATTTTGTAGCCGCACATGACCACCTACATGACATCTTGGCAAGTGGAAATTTTGTGGCGCTGGCGTTGGCAGGTACTCTTATTCACTGGGCTCGCATTTTGTGGAAGGCCACACGGCAACATGCGCAAGAGGAGAAGGGGGGATCCATCAATCACCTCTCTCTTTTCTTGATCAACTTTTATCGGTCGATGGGATGTCTGACAGTAGCGGAGCAGGTACAATTTCCCTTGCTGTCGCGGGCAAATCCGGGAAGGTATGTGAGGGATGTCGAGGTTGACACAGACCCTGACGAAGTGACCGCTAGCACACCACCAGCTCGACTGAGAACGGAAGAAGAACCGAGGGGAGCGTGGGCACCCCGGAAGCGAAAGTGGGATGGAGAGTCAAACATGAGTCAGCGGGAAGTGCCCACTGTTCCAGTCAGGCGTCGTCGGGCAAACAACGAGCCAGCCCGACCGAAGCAGAAGGCGCGCAAGCTAATTCTGCTAGCAGACAGCAGCGCGGACACAGGGCGAGCCGCAGTTATGAGAAACTCACCATCCTCGAAGGAGGATGTGGGTGCAGAGGTTCTTGGGAGGTCGACAGATCTCCCTGCACCGAGGACACGAGTGCCTTTCAAAGTCCGTAGGCCTTCGGGCCACAGAGGAAGGCATGCGGCAAAGGCCAGAATGCCTGCGATGGAGAGGTGCTTGCCTTCTGAGCAAGTACATTTGATGACTCGCCTTCGGGTCAAGGGCCTTCGGCGCAGGAGCGGTTCAGGGAGGACCCTTCGGGTCAAACGCCTTCGGCGCAAAAACCCCTGGAGCAAGTTGCAGTGGGCGAAGGCAGGGATGGGGAGACACGTGTGCCTTCGGTGGTGCGCCTTCAGCGGTAGCAGTCCGGGCATGTGTAGCAGGCCCACCTGGTGCAAATTCTTCCACCCCGTTGGAAGTATTGGTAGGACATGGAGTGGAGGCCGCAGCAGAGGAAGCTGCGCAACCAAGTGCGAGAGAATTGCCGAGGATTTCTGCGGCGACAGAGATCCTGGAGACCGAAGACGACACGGCTTAGGAGGAGGAGGAAGTGGAGTCGGTGCGAGGTACACCAACCGGTGTGCTCTGCGAGCAAGTGGTACCACTACTCCGGTACCTTGATCGCAAGGCGACCAAGTACGAGGATCCCCGCCATCGTGGATCCTATGTTGAGCTGGTTAGGAATCCGACTCGTATCAAAGTAGCGACGAATCCCGAGTTGATGGCCCTGGACCAGAAGTATCGGCAACTGGAGGAGCGTTACAATTTTCTGCAGGAACAATGTACCATATCGCGGAAGCTGCAGAAGACAGTGATTCAGTTGCGAGATGAGCTGATGAGCAAGGCGCAGCGCAAAATTGAAAAGCTGCGTTCGAGTGTCGAGACGGAGATCAATTCCGAGCAAGCTCAAAACCGCATTCCGGCAGAGGAGCTCGTGCGGCAGACGCGGGCGTTAGAGAAGAGTGAGGCCATGAGGAAGGCAGACAAAGAATTACTGGGTCGACTACATTTGTAGTGCGACGAATTGAGGGCGCAGCGTGCGGAGGCGGAGTTACAATTGGCAGAGGTTGAAGGCCACAACCGGCGCGTGACACATGGCACGCGGTAGGAGTTAGTTTCGTGGATTGACCGGTGTCTAAGAGGTTATGCTCGCTGAGAGATCGCGGCGCGGTAGAGAATGACGTTGCGTGAAATGGAGATATGTGCGGCAGCTTTGATGTCCGGTGACAGTCGGAGTCGGCGGCGCGTGGCGAAGTGGTTGAAGTCATTCCTGTCGAGGTCGCGGGAGGCCATTGCGCACCTCGAGGCAGAGGTGACCGAGGTGTTGCGGCGGCTCGGACTGCGTAGGAGAGCAAACGAGTGGACGGGTAGGGAGTTAGTGAGTAGTCGGCCTTCTCATAGGAGTCATAGCCAGTGAAGTGTAGTGTTAGTTAGTTAGGATTCTAAAGTGTATAAAGTAGTTCAAGGCGTTGGCCTTGGGGTATTTTCCAGTTTCGGAAGTTCAGTTCATAACGTCGTTTTCTCTGCGTGCTTGTGTCCTTCATTTTGTCACCGCGCAAGAGGAGCTATAGCTTGTCGAAGCTACCGCATTTTATAGTTGAAGGCCTTCGACCAAATGTTCTATGCTAGCAGATTGGCTAGTCAAGATTTAAGCAAGTTCGGACTTACACCTTCAGACGATTTTCCTTGTTTGTATTCCTTCGAGATTTCCCCCCCTTAATACCAAAGCGAAATTTTGTTAACTTTGGAGCGAGAGTTGGTTGAATTCAAGTTGTGTGTGTTACGCTACTTTAGGCGCCTTCGGGGATAGCCTTCGCAGTACTTTTGGGAATGACAAGTGCCTGAGAATTCAAACTCGTCAATAGACTGTTAAGTTGTAACACTGGGACTTTTCTCAACTTAGTTTTTCGGTTTGGATTTCTGTATTCTCTGCGCGTTTTGTGAGTTGAGTGTGTTGTTCACCGCGTGAGAGGAACTTCGGTTTGACGAAGGTACCGCATCCAAAGTAGGAAGTCCACCCCGAATGCTCTGCACTAGCAGTGGCTAGTGACAGGGTTTAAGCAAGTTTGGAGCTGGGTTACTACCTGCAGATACTCTGAGTGTACTCTTGGGAAACTTCCTCCCCTCCCATCTTCTTCAAAAACTTCTCTAAGTTGGCTTTCAATGACTTTTACCCGATAGTACCCCACGGACAATAAAGGTCACTCATGTTCTCGTATCAACAGACGGTGCAGGTAGTGCAACTCTATCGCAGCGATAGCAACATTGGTTGTCTACTTGAGCTCTGTTGTTCATATCAAGCTCTCATCAATAATTCCATCTACCTATAGATTGAGTGCATTGCGCTCTCTTCAATCTATGAAGTAACTATAATTTCTACTTCATAATCAATAATCATATGATATCTTGGCTTCAATTGTGTATCTCCGGTTTACTTATAGCTGTTTATGAAGAGCAAATTCTCTTCATCAGGATTGCTCTAATTCTAATTCATGAACAAAGTCCATGCATAGATTGTCATATGAAACAATTGCAATGAGGAGCGCAAAGTGGAGTGTGAAGGTACTCTCGCATGATATGTGTATAGTAACATTATCTAGAATTTCACGATGATGTGACCTCAGAGGGATTTGTAGAATTTCGCAACGATGTGACCTTGGTGAGGTTTGTCGAGTAAAACTAAACTTGATGGGTCACATCAAGCAATTAGTTTCCAATGGGATTCCATCAAGTAAATAATTGCTGCAAACTATTGGTAGTGTGATCAGAACATCATACAATAATCTTGGTTATAATAGAGATTGAAAATGAGGCTCTTCACATGGGGAAATGTGAGAGTATTTTATCCTCTTCTACTTGATAAGTGATATTAACCACGTCCGGGGCAGCCAAACTTTAAGTAGCTTACCGAATTTTGTTTTAAGACCTGCTGTGATATAACTCAAGGAAACAAAAACTTAAAACACACAATTACTATACTATGCGACTTCATCACAAATCACAGTCGTTGATTGCTAGAACAAATTGAGCACGTCATCTTCACTTGCACTGCAATCGTCATACCAATTCCTCAAAGGGGGCCTTCTCTTTCAGTCAGGCTTGAAGATTTTACTGAATGGTGTATCCTCCATGAACATGGTTACCTCAAGGGTATGGACCCTTCAAAGAGTCTTGATTCATAAAAGCATCCATGGAGAACCATACCATCGCTGTGAAGTTGAAACCTTCTATAAGATAAGTATAATCCTCAGACTGATCTGCGGTTCATTCCAATTTCTGTATTCCCTTGCAGAAACTAACATGAGCTGTATGGATAACAATATCCCACTCTAGGCACTAACTCATAGATTATCACTCTATACTGCACAACCATCCTCAAAGAAGTTAGAAAACCGGCCCACAAAATGTCCCTTCCTATATCCGGAATTCAGATCCTCAGCTACTACTTGGTTAAAACTCTTTGAATCATATTTCCAAGTATGATTTGGACGATTTCTTCGTGTCCTGAATCACTTCCTTTCTCAGACTCTCTGACTGAGCATCAGTTTTTGATGCAAGAGGGAAGCTGTAGGTGTCCTCGGCGTCTTTCAACGTGACGTCCAGCTTCTGGAACTGGATTGTTGCCGACGATTTCTGAGTAGGAATAAGCGCAATCAGGTCGAACGCCAACCTATCGATGACTCCTTCCAGACTCACAAGTGCCACTCTGATAGGCTCGAAGAACGGAATCATCGTGAGGATGCCGTGCTTGCCAATCACCACATTCAGCAAGGCCTGGTGGACCTGCACGAATGTCGTGAGAGCGTCGACGACGACCTGGGCATCAGCGTCCGGAAGGGGACCTGAAGTAACTCGGTCCACCCTGACGATTCCTTCAGAAACCTTCTGAATGATAGTTGCAAATCCACTGGCGATGACCGCTCCCTGCTGAGGAGCGTTGAAGATGTTGATCTTCTGGGTTGCAACTCTGAGCTGATCCGACATATCCGTGACAGTCTTCAGTCCCTCGACGATCTTCTCTGTGGTGGCGGTGAGAGCAGCATCAGATTCAGCGGATGCCAGCGGGAAGCTGTAGGTGTCCTCGGCGTCTTTCAACGTGACGTCAAGCTTCTGGAACTGAATTGTTGCGGAGGATTTCTGAGTAGGAATTAGAGCAATCAGGTCGAACGCCAACCTATCGATGACAGCTTCCAGACTCACAAGAGCATATCTGATGGGCTCGAAAAACGGAATCATCGTGATAATGCCGTGCTTGCCGATCACCACATTCAGCAAGGCCTGGTGGACCTGCACGAATGTCGTCAGGGCGTCGACTACGAGCTGGGCATCAGCATCCGGAAGCGGACCTGATGTGACGCGGTCCACCCTGATGATTCCCTCAGAAACCTTCTGAATGATAGTTGCAAATCCACTGGCGATGACCGCTCCCTGCTGAGGAGCGTTGAAGATGTTGATCTTCTGGGTTGCAACTCTGAGTTGATCCGACATATCTGTGACAGTCTTCAATCCCTCGACGATCTTCTCTGTGGTGGCGGTGAGAGCAGCATCAGATTCAGCGGATGCCAGCGGGAAGCTGTAGGTGTCCTCGGCGTCTTTCAACGTGACGTCAAGCTTCTGGAACTGAATTGTTGCGGAGGATTTCTGAGTAGGAATTAGAGCGATCAGGTCGAACGCCAACCTATCGATGACAGCCTCCAGACTCACAAGTGCCATTCTGATGGGCTCGAAGAACGGAATCATCGTAAGGATGCCGTGCTTGCCGATGACGACATTGAGCAGGGCCTGGTGGACTTGTACGAATGTGGTGAGGGCGTCAACTACGAGCTGGGCATCAGCGTCCGGAAGGGGACCTGAAGTGACTCGGTCCACCCTGACGATTCCCTCAGAAACCTTCTGAATGATAGTTGCAAATCCACTGGCGATGACCGCTCCCTGCTGAGGAGCGTTGAAGATGTTGATCTTCTGGGTTGCAACTCTGAGCTGATCCGACATATCTGTGACAGTCTTCAGTCCCTCGACGATCTTCTCTGTGGTGGCAGTGAGAGCAGCATCAGATTCAGCGGATGTCAGCGGGAAGCTGTAGGTGTCCTCGGCGTCTTTCAACGTGACATCCAGCTTCTGGAACTGAATTGTTGCGGAGGATTTCTGAGTAGGAATTAGAGCAATCAGGTCGAACGCCAACCTGTCGATGACAGCTTCCAGACTCACAAGTGCCATTCTGATGGGCTCGAAGAACGGAATCATCGTGAGGATGCCGTGCTTGCCGATCACCACATTCAGCAAGGCCTGGTGGACCTGCACGAATGTCGTCAGGGCGTCGACGACGAGTTGTGCATCAGCATCAGGAAGCGGACCTGAAGTGACTCGGTCCACCCTGACGATGCCCTCAGACACCTTCTGAATGATGGTTGCAAATCCACTGGCGATTACCGCGCCCTGCTGAGGAGCGTTGAAGATGTTGATTTTGTTGGTTGCTACACGGAGTTGGTCTGACATTTCCGTGACGGTCTTGAGCCCTTCGATGATTTTCTCTGTGGTGGCGGTGAGCGCAGCATCTGACTCAGCTGACCTGAAGGGGACGCTGTACTTGGTCAAGGTGTCTTTCAGAATGTCATGGAGGTCAGCGAATTGCTTCTCTGCTTCTCGCCTCTGGGTTGGAATGAGCGCAATCAGATCGAAGGCAAAGAGTTCGAACGCGACCTCCATGTTTACAAGCGTCATCTTGATATGATCGAAGGAGGCAATTATAGACGGGAGCTCATTCTTCTCCATGAGAACTCTTAGCATTGCCTGGTGAGCTTTCACAAACTCCTTGAGAGAGTCAACAACGTCCTCTGCATCAGCGTTTGGAAGTGCAGGTAATGTCTCATGGGTCATCTTTTCGATACCATGACCAACCTTTTCTGTGATGGCTGCTAGACCCTGAGCGATAATGATTCCCTGTTGGGGGGCGCTGAATATGTCGATCTTCTCGGCTGAAATCTTGAGCTTCTCAGCAGTAGTTGTGACTTCCGTAAAGCCATGCTGTATCCTCTCCGTGATGGTGGCTCCCTTGGATGAAGCCTGAGAATGGCGGAATGCCAAGGTCGTGAGGAGCAACATGATTACGGCCTTCCTCGAGAACGCCATTCTCAGATGTCTAGCTGCAAGACAAGATTCACGAAGAAGGAGAATCAGACAACAGTGTAGCAGCCAATTCAAGTGTGTGTGATCAGGCAAGAGATCTGAAAAATGCTATCAAAAAACACCGCCAACAATTTGGTAGAATCAATTGAGTCAAACAGACGCTAAATCCTCTAGTGTCAACACTCTAAACTCATTTCTGCCCATCTAGACTCTTGTTGTCGCTCTACATGAAAGCTGTGGAGTTGAAGCAGAAGCGATTGAGGCTGTGGTCTTCACCAGAAGCTGATGAGCTTGCCATCGTCAAGGAATGGGTGAGAGATAACTGGCTTGTTTGAATCCAATGCTCACTTTCATTGCTACTTATACCCACTCGGACACGTGGGAATCTGAGGCTGGTGCATGAGATTCCATGGGAGGCTGTTTGTACCTGTTTAGTATACTTCAGAAGCTTAAGGATGGAAAAACCTTCCAGTCTTCCTGGTTTCTCTTTTCCAGGTCAGAATTATTTGCATATAGTTACTAAAGTCTAATTTGTACAGTCCTTGCATTGTCTGCAAGATTTCAACAAATTGGTTTCAGATTTGGCTTTCGATTCTCTCAAAATCTCCTCAATGTGAGAAGCTTCTTCTAAGGCTTGGCCAATAAGACTTCAAAATTAAATAGACTATGTCCAGACGCTCATTAATGGCACGTAAGTGCAATTCACAAGAATCATATCTTAAATGTGATTCTTTTCATACCCACTTTCAGACCAGTTCTCTCGACAGTTGAGAAAAATATTTTTTTTTCATCTGCATGCATTTCTACAAGCCAAGATCTTCGATGTGAAGGAAAGCATGATGTGATGAGTTGTTTTCTCAATGTGAGCTTAGTTAAATTCCTCAAACCTAGTGAATTAATAGTTTCAACAACTTGGAGAATCGGCTTCCCCAATCCCTTCAGTGACTATACTTTCCTGTGAATTCGTCGGATGAGATGTCCCCTGAAGTTTTTGACATTTCCAACGTAGATTCTCATCACTGTATACCGTACCATACCACTACTCCATGATTTAACTTTCAAGCATAAGCATGTACGATGATTCTCTTCCAATTTTCGGAGTATTATCGCTCTTCATATTCTCTCTCAATCTTCAACTCCTCAGCGTTCCACCCCTATCCTTCAACTTTTTGGACCTTGTGGTGTAACGCCGTGTCTATGCTCTACTGGTGCAATTTTGGATAGATCTACAACTGGAATCACAGTGTTCGCCTGCATCATTAAAAGGCATTCTATACCGAACGCTCATGATACTTCCAGTGAATAGTAGATCGCAATAATCAAGTCGTGGCCACATCCTCGTATCACGTTAGACAGTACATCGGCAAGGTTGTTTCTTTATCAAGTGTAGATCTCAGGCTCTAACCTTTCCCGACAAGATACACTACAGCCAGGGTGAGAAGTATAGATCCTATCACGTGGCTGCGAGCGAAATTAAACAAACCGAACAAAACTGCTCCAGAACTGCTTAGCCTAACAAGAGTAAAGGTGCTCAAGAATTGATGAAAGGTAAAGAACGTGACGTGAAAGAATTTTTTTCCAAAAAATAAGATAAATCACAATTCACACACACAAAGGGGACGCAGTCTTTCTAGCTTCAGCTCGAAAGACTAGTTCCCTCGAACTACTCAATGAAGGTAGTTCAAGCATATAACCAAGATCAAATGTCCTCGTATTTTAACTTCTCATCATCTTTACATAATTTCAATCTGGTGAGAAATACACACAAAAATACAATCAACTTATTTCCTCAAGCAAGAAGAACATCTCCATATATGATTCTCTCTCTCAATGTGTTTCTCAATTCTCACACTCAGTTTTTCTTCAAATCCCCTACTTATCATGTACAATATACACTGGCTTAAGTCCGCAACTTGATCTGGGAAGTTTGGTGTGGACTTAATTGAAATGCAGATCTAAGGAATATTAGGGGAATCCCATATAATACTAAAGTTAATATATATGAAACACAATTTTGAGTTCATTTGCAATCATGAGTGGACAACGTGTGGTGAAACACAAAGGCCAGGGCCAATGTCTTAATGACCATCAAAGAATAAAAATTATCACTTTATTAGAGCAATCCAAACTGCCCACTAATCAAGCATTGCTTGTCAAGACGGTGTCGACGAGAAGGTTATTTGGAATTTGGAAGCAAACAAAGATGAGATTCCAGAACTAGCCCAAAGTATTGACCCAAGCCACTCAAGACTCCACATTTCGTGTTTCGCAATCATTGTTTTCTGAGCTTGAGAAACAATGTTACGAATGTTGCTTGTGTTGTTTGTTTTGCTGCCCAATCTCCTTAGCCACAAAGAAAAATAAATTGCCGAAGCTATGGAGATAGGTGATGATAAGTTCAAGGCTTCATGGGGATGGTTTTCGAGATTCCGCTTTTGGTTTGGTTTAAGGGGCACAAACTTGTTTGGTGAAGGCGGTGAGGTTGACAAAAATAATATTGAAACTTTGCGAGCTTTGGATGAGTTATGTGCAATTATCGACCAGTATGACCCAGATGCATGTACAATATGGACAAAAATGAATTGTTCTTTTGACTAATTACAAGTTACACCGTCTTGATGTCAAATGAAGATACGTCAACAATCCAGGGCAAGAAAAAAGCGAAAGATATCCTGATTCTTGTGGTTTGTTGCAAAGCCACAGGGACTGAACGAGTCCCTATCATCATGATGGAAAAGTCAAAGGAGCTTGCATGTATTTCAAGTAACACCTAGCCAATTCCGTTTCTTTAGTATAAGAACGTTTGGATTGATGTGCTGACGTTCAATAAGTGGTTCAATGAGGTTTTTTAGTCATATGTTCGTAAACATATTAGTCATGGGATTCTCTTGATCCTTGATAACGCTCTTGGTCACTCATTTGTCTTTGAACGGAATGGTATCTGCATGGTGTTCTTCCCACCAAATGTTACGTCGTGGAAGCAACCGATGGACATGGGCATCATTGCAGTATTGAAAAAGCAATACAAGTATTTGTTCCTCAAAGAAATGATTGCCTACCATGATAATCCGCAAAGTTTGAAGTATTAACTAGCAGTAGCTGTATTGTGGTAACCCACTTTTTGTTTTTGTACGGAATGTAAACATTTTTGGAAATCAATACCGCAGCAGCAACTGTAAATAGTAATCGATACACTAAAATAGAGTGAAAATGGATGATCGCAGGTCCATGAGAATCCTGGAGAACCATCGAGTTGGGCCCAATGTCCGGGACAAGCGCCCTGGCCCGAACAAACGGTTCCTACTGAGGGGAAGCGCCTTCGGCGCAAGCAAGAGAAAGCGCCCTCGGCGATAGAGTGAATCCCTCATAACTGTCTCAATTCGTAACGCCTTGATTTGTTTAGGGTCTTGTTGAAAAGAACTCAACACGCTTATTCTAACGAGCTCAAGAATTCTTAGAACGGATAAGTGATCACTGAGTTATGAGTGTCAGAAGTTATTGAGATGGGACACCTTCGGGGCAACGCCTTCGGCGGTACACTCCTTCGCCTGAACGCTTTCGGCGCCAGCGCATTGATATTAGGTCAACGTCTTTGGCGGTGTGACGTCGGCGGTATGCCTTTGGCGGACACGTGCGCCTTCGGCGGAACGGAACACCTGCGGCAAGAGCGCCTTCGGCGGGACAAGAAAGAACACTAGAAACAACAACACGCACTGACTTCGGTCAACGCCTTCGGCGGAAGCGCCTTCGGCCACGGACACCTTCAAGAAACGCCTTCGGTGATGCGGGAGAGTGCCTTCGGCGATGCGGAGAGAGTAAATCAAGAACCGGCCAGAGACGAAGTCCTTCGGCGATACGCCTTCGGCCATGCACGGGCAAGGCCAAGTCGACGGACACACGGCAGAATCGAATTCAATTTTCAGGCGTGGGAGTTCGCGCAACGGCGGAGCGTGAAGCCGAGCGTGCAAAGGAGGCCGTTACGCCTCCAAGCCGTAGTAGATCAGACGGAAGGAGCGGACTTGTCGGGAGTCGGGTCTCCCACCGCATTAGATATTTTGGCAGGGAGTGGAGCGGCGGCCGCGGCAGCAGAAGCCACACAACCCAACTCCCGGGAGTCGCCGGGAAATTCTCTGGCGACCGAGATCCTCAATTCGGAGGATGACGAGGATGAGTCGAGCTCGGAGGAGCAGGAAGAGGAGTCGGTGCAAGGCACGCCGACAAGAGTCTTGTGCGAGTGGTAAGCCTGCTGAGGTACCTTGATCGACAGGTGGCGAATTATGGTGATCCCCGCCATCCTGGATCCTACGTCGAATTGGTGCGCAGACGGACGCGAACCAAAGTCAGGAGCAGCAGTTTGTTGGCTTCCTTGGACGAACAATCAAGGACTTGCGGTTGAAGAACGACGCCCTGCGTGGACACCTCGCCATTTCGCGGAAGTTGCAGAAGGCAGTCAACAAGACGCGCGATGAGAAGTTCGACAAAGCGGAGAAAGAATTTGCGAAGCAGCGGGAGAAGCTCGCGGAGGATCTCGATTCTGAGCAAGCTCAAAATCGCATCTTGTCATAGGAGCTTGTGCGACAGACACGGTTACTAGACTAGTGCCAGAGCGCACGTCAAGCCGATGAAGAATTAATTCGTCACCTGCAATCGCAGTGCGGCGAATTGAGAGCGCAGCGTGCGGAGGCAAAGATGCAGCTAGTAGAGATTGAAGGCGATCGCCAGGGCGCGACAGATTGCACGCGGAAGGAGTTGGCTGAGCGAGTGAACCGCTGCCTCAGAGGTTACACTCACTGGGAAGTGGCTGCGCAGGAGAGAATCACACTGCGCAGGTTAGAGATTCGTGCGGCGGAATTGATGTCGGGTGATAGTCGGAGCCGATGGCGGGTCGCGAAGAGGTTAGACGCTTTTCTGACAAGGTCGCGAGACGCCATTGCGAACCTCAAGGCAGAGGTGACTGAGGTGCTTCGGCGGCTGGGGTTGCGCAGCAGAGCCGACGATTGGTCGGGTAGGGAGTTAGTGCGCGGTAGTCCGTCGCGCAGGAGACATAGCAGATGACATGGAGTGTAGTGTAGTGTAGAGTGTTAGTTAGGATCTTAGGAGATATAAAGTAGTTCAAGGCGTCTTGCCTTGGGATTCTTCCAGTTTCGAAAGTGCAGATCAAGAACTCATTTTCTCTACGTGTTTGTGTCCTTCTGTTCTGTCACCATGCAAGAGTAGCTACAGCTTGACGAAGATACCGCATTTTGTAGCTGAAGGCCTTCGGATGAAAACTTAGTGAGTTCTGAGTGAAAACTGAGTGAGTTCAAAGCTAGTGTACTGGTTAGATACTTGAG